AACTTACTTTTACATTACTGTTTTAGGACCCAGTGGTTGATAGTTTCAGTTCTGATTGACTTGTGATGTAACGTAATAATTATCTACAGTTAAGATATTACTATTTGCTTCGTGACTTTTATTTCTATCTTTGGTTAACCATTTGTTATCTGGTAAGTAGTACTGTATTGATTGAAATTTTGTAAAATAGTTTTTATTCCTTAACATATATTTAGCCACTCAATAGTTTTATTCTCTCAAGTAAATTCGGTTGGAATTCGGACACCACTTCTTGAGGTAAATACTAGAGTGGGTGACTCACTCAGGCATTATAAGGAGTCATTTGCATCATTATAACAAACTCCGCCTGTAGCTCTTCTAGAGTTGCTGCCAGTCCCAAGCCCGGGTAAGGGAAGAGGACTGGGCATGGGGTTAGCGACCCTATCCCGTAAAAAACTAACTCGCTAAAAAACGCTAACCAGAAAAAATAATTCAAACCATTTAAACTCTGCCCTGAAAGTTAGGTCTTCCATTTAGAAGAATTATGACGCTTCATAGTGAAAGCCGAGTTCCTTCGGAAGCCATGAAGCCGATGCCCCTTCTAACAACCAGAGCAACAATTTTTATAGGTACATGGAACGTCCGAACAATGTGAGAGACCGGGAAGATCAGTCAAATAGCAACGGAAATGAGGAGATACAATTTGGCAGTACTGAGAATCAGCGAAACCCACTGGACCCAAGCTGGATAGAAAAGGCTAGCTACGGGAGAGATGCTACTATACTCCGGTCACGAAGAGGAAAATGCTCCACACACTCAGGAAGTTGCTCTGATGCTGTCCAAAGTAGCACGAAATGCACTTGTAGGATGGGAATCTCACGGATCCAGAATCATCAAAGCATCATTCAAGACAAAGAAGGAGGGGATCACAATGAATATTATCCAATGTTATGCACCCACCAATGATAGCAACGACGACATTAAAGATCAGTTCTACGAGCGGCTGCAGTCAATCATAGAGTAATGCCCAAGAAAGAACCTCACCATTCTGATGGGAGATCTAAACGCCAAAGTCGGAATAGACAACACCGGATATGAAGATATCATGGGACGACATGGACTGGGAGAGAGAAAAGAAAATGAGGAAAGATTTGCAAATCTATGTGCATTCAACAAATTGGTCATAGGAGGCACAATATTTCCGCACAAGCGTATACACAAAGCTACATAGATCTCACCGGACCATACCACAGAGAACCAGATAGATCATATTTGTATCAATAAAAAGTTCCGAAGGACAATGGAAGATATGAGGACCAGGAGAGGAGCTGACATAGCTTCAGATCACCACCTAGTTGTGGCCAATTTAAAACTGAAGCTAAAGAAAAACTTGACAACTGGACAAACAGCACTATAAAGGTTCAATACAGCCTTCCTTCGAGATACTGACAGACTCAATGAATTTAAGATAGCTCTCAACAACAGGTTCCAAGCCTTACAGGATCTATTGAAAGAAGAAGGAACTACTATGGAGGAAAACTGGAAAGGTATCAAAGAAGCATTAACTTCAACAAGTCAGGAGGTTCTGGGCCTCAAGAAGCATCATCATAAGGAATGGATATCTATAGAAACACTGGACAGGATCAAAGAAAGGAAGGACGAGAAGACAGCAATTAACAACAGCCAAACACGAACAGAGAAAGTTCGAGCACAAGCTGAATAAATAGAAGCAAACAAGCAAGTGAAGAAGAGAATTAAAACCGAAGTGTGGCTGAAGGCCAGTTGAACTGAACCCTAAGGTGTTCTGCCCATCGATCCAATCTACTGGATTGAGAATGAATAATATGTCCATCTTTCTCTGAGATTGTTTCGCTAACAGTCAGTTTCCTAATACCGGTTTCCTTAACAAGTCTGAACAATCGTCTATTACCTATTGCCTCTGCCTTTTCCATCTCTCTTGCTTTCGCTACCCACCACTGTTCACGATCATTGCGTAGACTTCTTGTCAGCTTGCGCTTAAGCTGACTCCGCTTTTCATTATGTTCAGAGCCAGGTGGAATGAGTTTTCGAGCATCTATCAGTGCGATAGATGCTGCTGAGATCCAGTGTTTCTCCCTAACCTTACGGGTTACCTTACTGGCAGATATCACTGCTGTTTCCACAGCTTTTCGGATATCATTCCATGCTGTCTCGGGGTGGGCATCACATACATGGCTGCCTAACTGTTTTCCTAGTTGTTCCTGAAATATACTCTTAGTTTGACTATCATTAAACAGGACCCTAAGAGGTTTCCTTGCAGCGTCTTTCTTACGTCCAGTAAGACGCAGACAAATACGCGCTCGCACTAGAGCATGATCTGAATTTAGGCATGTGCTCTAGAATGAGCGACAGCCTTCTATCGAGCCCCTCCATCGGTGGCTGATAGCGATGTGATCTATTCGGGTCCAACGTTTGGACGAATTAGGGGGTCGCCATATCAAAAGATGTTTTTCCTTATACTTGAAGTTAGTATTTGCAAGGAACATGTGGTTATCTGAGTATAGCTGCAACAGACGGTCGCCATTATCTGTTCTTTGAGACACGACACCATAAGATCCACCCATGTGTCTTTCCCTTTCGCTTAGTTTACTTACTTGAGCATTAAGGTCACCAGCCACTATTACTACATCAGAGCGCCTAGCGTTTCTGAGATCGGAAAGCTTTCTGTAAAACCCAACTTTAACATCATCTGAGCTGCAGTCAGTGGGTGAATAGGCAGAGACGACGAAGAGGCAACGACGAGTTTCTCTGTCTTTCCGAGTCCTTACTGTTCCATTTAGTTGGACAGCGCACAGACGAATGTCTACTGGGATCCAGTCTAAGAGAGCTAGTTCTGCCCTAGGACTCAGTGCTATACCTACGCCGATGAGGCCACGGGAAGCAGAATCAGGGCTTCCAGATACACGAAGTGTGAATCGAGTCGGTTCTTTATTTTGGCATGGTGAGGTCAAATGAATGACGCTACTCGGATCCTGTATGCGCGTTTCGGAGACGCAGCACACATCGATGGCGCGGGATTCTAAAGTCCTAGCTAAGGAAGCCTGTTGTCCTATTTGGCACAGTGTTCGGACGTTAAAAGCTCCTACGTGTAGTTTAGAGCGTGGTTTCAGGAGACCAGGAATAGCGTTCCGCGTACTCGAATCGTTTGCCCTAGCGGTGCGAGATGATAAAGAGACGTGAGAAGGGTTAGTCATGGAGATAAGAGAGGTATTAGGAGGTGTAGGAAGGATTTGAATGTGACCAACTTGGTCTTGTGTGCTGTTACGGGTATGAGGGCTGATATCACTTCCCGGCTGCCCACACCGTGGAAGGGTATTTCTTGAGGAACCTGAAAAGGAAATTGGATTAGTGTTGGTCTTAACGGATTGGGAGCGTGACCGCAGAGCCCAAGGGACAACTGCTTGAGGCCGGTCGCGCACGGCCTTTTCGTGGAAGGTTTTTAACGTGTTAGCTCCGTTCTTCAAAGGGCCTTACCGCCGGAGACGGAAATCCGTGAGGTAAGGTGAGGTGTGACATTTTTAGGGTCGACCTTTTTTAACCCCGTCCTTTCTTGTAAGAAGGCAACATCGCTGCAGATGCTGGTTGTCCGAGGGAAACACCTCACTGCTGTCATACCCCTCTACAGTCAGCAGTACGACTTCGCCCTCAGACTTTGAGTTGCTGCTTTTAGTTTTACCGTTCTCCAATCGACCCGCCTGGCATGTTAGAACCTACAGGAACAATTATTCCAGCCAAAATGGCTCGGTTGGGTCATGACGATAGGCAAGCCCGACCACCGCATTAAGGTCGCAGCTACAGCCTTTTGTGGGAGAGAACAAACCAGCTTTCAGTTTAAGAGGAAATTCGGCAAAGACGATGGAAATGGACGGGACATACATTACGCAAATCACCAAACTGCATCACGAAACAAGTCCTAACTTGGAATCCTGAAGGGAAACGGAAAAGAGGAAGGCAAAAGAACACACTACGTCGGGAGATAGAAGCAGATATGGAAAGGATGAATAACAACTAGGATAAGCTGGAAATGATTGCCCAGGACAGGGTTGGATGGAGAATTCTGGTGAGTGGCCTATGCTCCTTCACGAGGAGTAACAGGCGTAAGTAAGTAATCCCTAAATTTGGTGTGTTCTATTAAAATAAGTGTTCAAACACAATCACATGTTAAAACAAGCCTAGTACAACTAACTCATTTACTGGGTTGAAATCTAGTTACCTGACTTCGAACTATACGTTGATTGTATTATGAATAGCGATAGTGCCTGGATGTACAAACAGAACCTGAGATTTACTTGATGAAAGCCGAATGTCTTAAACAGAGTCGCCCCAGCAGTACATCAAAATAAAGCTAAGAACGCTAAAGATGAGAGCTAAAATGTTGTCTTCATTACGAGAACTAGGAGTACGGGTGCCCCGAATGCCTCGGTACGGTAGAGGGTGAGGAGGGTCGGTTCTCCCTAACGAAATGCTCTCACATGGCCATGCGTATGAAGCCACTGCCAAGGAAAACCTACTCACTGTCTTCTCGCGGAGGGAGCGTTGTTTATGAAATGGAGAGGACGAAAGGCGAATGTTCGGTTCTTTATCCGGGTTAGTGGACACGAATGGTCCACCTAGAGGGGTCGAAAACCCTGATTTCAAACCAATGATGCACACAGGCTACAGGATCCTGAGGAAACAAATGGAGTACAAACCAATTATTAGCCACCGGCTACCATGGGACTGCACTTCCTGACGTTGCTCCACTGCCTTGTGGATCAGACTTTTCGGTCGAAGGCTCCGGGCATGGCTACCTAAGAAAACCACATGCTTCGGTCTGAGCAATCGGGCAGTATCACAGCCCACATACAAATCAATCGACTTGTGTGGCGCATATGTATTCGATGCTCCTTCGTACCAATATTTATGCGTTCAAATAAATAAATAAATAAATAAATGAGTATGGGAGTACTTAAATAGTAAGTCGACATTTGTAATACACTTACTTGGCAGGAAGTAACACTTTTATCAGTACTAGGATTGTGTCTTTTTTGAGTTAAACTAAAGAAATTGTAAATGTTTAATTGCTTTTTTAAGTAAATACTTGCTTACCTTTGTTTTTTGTTCCAACAGAAACATAACAATAGAATGAATGAAAGTGATAATCCAAAAGCGAATGAACTGATATAATTTAATGCATACTCCATACGACCTTAAAAATGTATTTGCATACGTAGATTGGTGCGAACTTACATTTACCAAAATTAGATTTTGTTATTAAAAGCTTGATATTTGATTAGGTTTTTTGATCTTGTTTTGTTTGTATGTAGATCCGGAACTCATTAGTTTGATTACAACAGAACTTCTTTAGTGTGGATATCTGAGAGAGAGAGAGAGGGAGAATAAAGGGATGAAATACGAAATAGGTGCAAAATACAAAATTATTTTATCATGAACACAGACAGGAATTTGGAGTTAACGATAGGCAACTGTAAAAAAGTTTACGAAATAAGTTTGTATGTTGAGCAATCTATGCAAAAAATGGTATTGACATGATAACTAAATAATTAAGATTTTTAATCACGCTAGTATTGGGAATATCAAAAAGTTAGAACACAGTACATTCGAAATTACTGTTGTAATTAAGTAGCTGTCGTTTCTTCAAACTTATAGATCTGTTAAGTACTTTACTTAATGAGTATGCTTTTTATTTCACGAACACGAAGAGCTTTGTTATGTGAAATAATTATTTATGAGATGGTGAATAGTGATAAAAAGTGGTACGACAATGATATAAAATAAATTCGGTTTTTCTAGATTTCACCAACACAGAATCGCAGAAAGAGGACCGTCACTGCCCTGCATTCTAGGTCAAATCTAACGAGTTATATGATTTCAGGGGATCCATCGAATTAGAAGCCAAGGACTGCTAAACAAGTGTTATTTTTAACAGTATAGATTCAGAGGGTGAGATACTAGAAGTTGGTTTTAGAGTCACTAGGGAACATACTGAGAATAAGTATCTAAAACAATTTAAAGCCAATATCAGCGTGATGCCACTTTAGATATTAAAGCTAACTATGGTTCGTGGAGTATTAAAAACCGAGATATTTAAATATTATCTAATCTTAGAGCCAATATCAGCGTGATTCCACTTCGTAAATCAAAATCAACTATAGTTCGAGTATCGAAAACCGAAGTATCTAAATGTTATCTATACCGAAGGTGAAAACGATTTATGAGAACGTTCGAGATGGAATCAGGCAAGCGGTATAAAGATTGGCTTGCAAATGTACATGACGCCAATAGCTAAAAACGCTGAATTTTAGGAGTAAAACTTTTGTAGCACTATACATGGAACATACACTTATTGAAAGTTTATAAGGTTAACAGTTATAAACACATCCAGTCGTCTATTTTGGCTATATAGAGCATGCATAAATATGAATAATCTCAGTTAACTGTCATTCCATACCATGTAAAGCTGAAGAATTCAGCTTTACTTTGCGTCACAGTTCCGAATTTTTGAGGAGACACTTATTCTTGAGAAGTTTGATATACTTCCGCCACCACGCCCTATTTCCAAAGGAAGAGATCACCAACCACAAAAGCTTTGAAGCTGTGGTTGTGATCAAGGTCAAACAATAGTTGGCCAGTAGCTCAACAAAATAAGACTTAAAACCTCCTCATAGTGTTGCTCAATAGCGGGAGAAACCCCGCTAACCAACCTTTGCGGTCAGTCACTCTCTTATATCTGACCGATTCTTGGTTCTATATTCAGGGCTCACCTTAGAGCTCAGGCTGCCCGATGTGTGTGCTTATGTATGGGAGTTTCAGAAGTTATTGGACCTATGTAATTCAAGTGTGTTGGAGTTTATACGGTGTGATAAGAAGGATATATCGAGCATGTCCATCATGTGTCTGATAAAATCAGCTGCATATCTGTCAGGTCGAAGACATAATAAAAAGAGGTGGTAGCAAATAATAGCGTGAGGCGACCAACAACCTAGCTTGAGAGAGTGCTTATGATTACGTGTGGGTCAGATAATACTAGTGCGATAGCCATGTGCTGGATGATGTGCCAAACTGTTAGGGGCGGCCACACCAAAACATGGCATCAGTTCGTGAACTCACTGAAAACTGGACATAGCCATGGTAATAGGTACGGACTATGGAGTTGCGGTCCCCGTGATTATCGTAGCTAACGGTTAGAGACTTTGAATGGCGTGAATCAAAATCGTCTGCAATGGCGCAGGTGCATCCATTCTTTGTCTTCTCACAAATCCTGACATTCTAATTCCCTCATAACGTTCTTTGTGCTTGTCTCACTAATTTGTTTTCGTTTAGAGTCGTGTCTTGAATGCCTAATTTTTCTTATCACATTTGATACTGTTACTACCTCTGCTGGTGATGGGCTGTTTTGCCTCGATGTTCGAGGAATTCGGTGAGGCTGATCCATTGCAAAAGTCGCTCTGAACACATGTTCCTCTGTTTCACAATCTTAGTGATTTGTTTTCTTTCTGTTTTTTACTAGTTATTTCTCTTCACCGAATTCACGTCTAACTTCACCACTTAATAATACGGTTGTCTCATGATGGACAGTAATCCTGTAATAGCTAGGAGCGGATTATGAATCTGATTGCGAACCTCGACAGGGCGTGAAGTATTTGTATAAGGCTTGAGCAAACTAAGTTGATGATGAACTGATAGAGCATTTCCAACGAAGTGAAGCACCGTTTCTTGTAATTTCATGTTTGATGACTAGGGAACATCTGGTCATCCTAGCCACCCTCTTATGGAGTGTTAAAAAACTCCACTAAAATCACTCTGGTGTGTAGCACATGAGGTCACTGTTACTCAGCTACATGTACTGGGTATTGATTGATAAGGACATTAAAAGTTTGGTCGGGAAGTGTCCACGGTGTGCTCAAGCCATAAAATCACCATCGAAAGTACAGACACCCCCGTGGATAAGTATAGAAAAACCATGGTCCTGTATTCATGATGATTTCACTGGACCAATCAATCATCAACTCATTGAAATAATGGATGGAGATTTACTTAGTTCCTATGACCTCAACGACATCACGAACTTAGGTGCCGAATAGGCTTTCTAGGGAATTCATTTTTTTCGGAAACAGTAGATAAAGTCACAGGACCTTAGTTTACGTCGGAAATCCTCTTGAACTTCCACCCAGGAATCGCTCTTATATACGTTCAGTCACCATCCTACTACCCGTAGTCAAAAGGTCAGGCTGAGTGTTTATTAATGCTTTCAAGAGGTCTCTCATCAAGTCACAAGATGAAGGCACGCCGGAGGTCATCCAGAATTTCTCTAGAGCATACAGGACAACCCTGAATTCAGTTCCATCAAGGGTTTCTGCCCATCTGAAGCAACGTCTAAAAGAATCGTACTTTATTTGACTCCCAAGAGCTGCAGCATAATCACCGTTGGCTGCACTCCACGAGTGCTTACGGATGATCCAGCACATGGTTGAATCCTGTGACAAAATACATAAGTGTAAAACTACAGGCGAGTAGTGTCTAGGGCTTTACAATAAACTCAAAATTAACCGTACTGCTTAGAGTTCTCCGTTTGCACCACTTGACGAACATGTGCCTTTGGCGACAGTGTGTGGGCCTGAATAAGCACGCAATTCATTTTCAATTAATTTCCATACGAATGGCCTTGAATATGTAGCGTGGCGTCGAGTCGTGATTGACTATGAACACCGCTACAAAGAAACATGTGCCAAATGAATCAGAAGGCGAAGGTTGGACGTAACCAAATAAATCCATAAAATCCCCGAGAAGCCAAATATCAGAAGACAGTTAATGGACCAAATCGAGATGTATTCGCTGGCGATCTCGTGGCATCGAAAGGATACCGAGATCGTGCCAGAATACAAGTTTGGTTACAGAACGTAACCGAATTCGCGCGAAGTTACAATCAAAGTGTAAGTATAAGAATGGGATCAAAATATAGCTGTCATTAGCGCAGTCAAACAAAAGCACATTAAAATAAGCACTGGTACAGTTGGTTATAATAATAATTGTTTTTATTAAACCAGTCGTGTTCTCGTGATAAATGTGAGTCACTACAAATACACGAGAAGGACATATTATAATCTTGTCGAGTCTGTGTTATGTTAACTGACAAATACAACTTCAGGACACCTTCTATACACTTTAATCTCTTGTTCGTTTGCAAAACAGTATCTAATTAGGGCTTCATCTGCACATAACTCTCCTACACCACAGTCTGATGTAAAAAACTGACTTTGTCGTATCGAGAGTAGCCAGCTTACACGCGGTTAACGATTCTAGAATCTTCGTTATTTACGACACAGGTGGTGGTTCTTCTGTTAAACTCATCCTTCACACATTTCATCACATTATCTAATGAGGGCAATTGTTACAATGAAGGTGGGAAGTTTTCCTTCTCGTCACCAAATAATCGTCTGCCAAACGGATCACATATAATAAATTTTGAAAAACACGGATGGCTGTGAACCATCTTAAAGAACTTTATGGAATACGCTTCACCACGCAAGGCTACTCAGAACGTAGAGTGATAACAATGATACTTGGACTTGTTGCACACATATATCCGAACTGTTACTTAACAAGTCCTGCGCGCTGTGGGTTTTCTTCACACGATTGTAGATTTGGAAGCAACAAATAAATGCCTCCAGCGTTCACTACGATTTTTTCTACTTCGTTGGTGAGTGTTATGAGTATATTTCATTGGAGCTTATGAAATTTTTACTTCTCTAAATCGTTGGTAACCATTTAGGTCATGTTCTCATTCCTCCCAACTATAGAACTATTGAAGGCGCAAGCGAATTAGAGACAGTGTTTCAACTAGTCGATGTATTTAAGTGTAAGTTATCTTTATCTGTGTATTGGCGATCCACTGCTACTACGCACGGAAGCCTGTCGAGCTAAAGCTTCTTCTGTTTCGTCCACAACCATTTGAACATTATCCTTATTCAATAGCGCGAAACACACGGTGCACGGTACATCCCAGTGTCTATGAAGTTCTAAACATAACTCGGCCGCAGTTTCTCTCACCACTGAAAACAACAGAAATTGATTTTAACGTTGCGGATGTCTGAGGTTAGTTAATAACTCTCTTTTAATTGAATCCAATAGTCTGCTTGTGACTATCTTAAGAGGTTTCTGTCTGAGTGAGTTTTTTGTTTATTTGACCATATAAATAGAGTTGATGGGATCCTCGGTATCTTTGTCGCGGATAAAGACGGAGTCGTTGTTGCAAGTGGTAAACCTAATTTTATCATCAGTGTTATGTCCTAGCCACAATGGATGATATGCCTGATCAAGCACGCTCACCATATGTTACTGCTGCTTTTATCGTATCATTACAACAAGTAAACAAACTAGATCTTGGAGATTTAGAATGGATGATCACTAGTTATCAAGAGATGGTGGTATGTCTACTGGAAAAACTTTGTTATTCAATTAGACCCAGTTTGGCGATTTCATGTAATGCGTATATGTGTATCTAGGAAGTGCGTTGCGTCACCCTAACCGCATATAAAGATCTTGTCAAAGTGTGTATGAAGGATGTATATATATATATATATATATATATATAGTTTGGCTCACGGAGAATCTGCTGCAACTGGGGATCACAATAGTATGCACCACACAAAATCATAACTTTTTGTTAAGGCCGAGCTACTGTTTGGGAGCCCAATTCAAAGGATATAAATCTTTTGAAAAACGATATTTGTTGTACCTAATTGCATCCCCAAATTGTTTGACTTTAAGCCTTGTCGTACAACAACCCTGCTGCCCACCTGCTCAAATCAAGTGAAGTTAGGTATAAAATCAGAGGCATTATATCAGTAAGTGGTGGTCACTCATAATATAATAAAGGTTTGTTAGTTAGACTACAGAGCCACTTTATCACTAAAGTATGTATTTATCGCTAGACATCAATAAACGAAAAAGTGTGCATGTGTCTTGTCCACTGCACACTGAGAAATAACATCCTTCCTGGTTACCTAACCGCTTAATAACCGGTTGCAAACATGCTCACGCATACTGTCACAGTGTGACGCACTAATTACAGGGACCATTGAGCTGTGTTGGGATCCACATTCGCATAACCTCGTTAAGACAAGACTGCTACACTAATTAATCCGTGTTAAAAAATAATACCACAACTTTGATAGTCTAAAATGTCTCGTTTGCTAGTATGTAATCAATACTTCCCGATTTTTAGATCTGCCAGTTTCATTTTACATGCCAATCAGCTTTACCATTATTTCTGACGGTTGTTGGCTCCAGTGAATGCAATATAGGTGGGTTTACAATAAAGTAAAATGATGCTTAATGTTTATTTAACGAGTCATATGAAGAAGTATTGGCATTTAATAACATTAATATTGAAAGAAACTACATACAAGGAGTGGCTTAGGATCGATAACAACGTAATGAGCATATTGATTCTTTATCTTTGTCTAGATCTTGAGAACGGCATTACTATATGCTAAGAAAGGGTTAAACATTTGCATCGTCTTGACTAATTTTGAACCACGGAATCCGTTGTCCGCAAACACTAAAATATTATACCATTTGTACTCACCAAGAAACGCTATAGTCTACGCAGTTCATACTAACAGTCTCAACGTCAGTAGTAAGTCCCGATCTGCTCACCTTTCTTATGTCACCCAACTTGAACCCACTCCAGTAAACAGGAACAGGTTGGGTTAGCATATTCCAGCCATCTCATTTTATAGAATTTAATCCCTTGTCGATTGCATTATTTTTTGTCTAACTCTACATATGACACCAGTTAAGTCTACTTAATAATTATATTACATTTAGTAATACCTCAAACGACGGTAACTATGCTAAAGGGTTCTATCCCACATGACTCATTATTAGGTTGTCACTTATTTATTTCAACATAAACATTGGTACAAGAGGGCACCAAATGCATATGTGCCACACAATAACAAAACCAGTAGTAGTTATCATTGATTTGTGTGAGGGCTGTGATACTGCCTGGATGCTTAAACCGAAGGTGGTTTTTTTAAGGGACCACGCCCAAAGATATCATGAACAAGGCAGTAGAGCAACGTTAAGAGGTGCAGTCCCATGGTAGCCAGTGACCAACGATTGGTTCATACATCATTCACTATCTTAGAATCCTGGAGTCCATGTGCACCATTGGTTTGGAATCAGAGTTTACCAATTCCCATAGATAGAACCTCCGTGTCCACCAACCCGGTTAAAGCACCGGACATCCAATTTTGACCCTCTTGATTTCGTAAACAACACCGTTGAGAAAAGGCAGTGAGTAGGACTCCCCTAGTAGTGGCTGTATATGCGTGGCTATGTGAGAGCTGACTTTCCCCACGCGTAGCCGTTCCAGGGCACTTGGGGGCCTTTAGGATGTTACTTATGGCCAACAAACTCGACTTCACCATTATCTCTTTTGTGCCAGCTACTGAAGCGATCTAGGCGTAAATATGAATAAGTCGATTGATATCAACAGGGCTGTCGATAACTAAAAGTACAACGCAATACTTTGTGATGGAACTAGAGTGACAAAGATAGGTAGAGAGAATGTTTGGTTACCTATTCCTCCCGAGGTATCGGTAGTATTCGGCTAGTACAAAGGCTTCGTCTTTGTACTCTATCTAAGCAGAGTAAATAAGTTGAGTTTTGGTACCATAATGTCAGAATATACCACCTTGATTACTGGGTTTATGTTAGACGGGTGATGATCTAAACAAGACGTGACATCCGTTTGTTACTTGTTGAGTTATCTATACAAGTTGTAACTGTGTCCCTAAAGCTTCACAATCCTTGCCCAAAGATGATCTAGTTTAAGCTATCCTAAATCAGTCGAAAAACAACTGTCTAGTTAACATATAATATCAAAAGACTTTTCAATGTAATAAATAAAATACATCGCACTGCTAAATGATCGTATGAAACTATGATTTTGGACGCAATCCCATTCGTGCAACAACTTTTTATCTATTCACATTTTACTTATTGTTTATTATTTCAGGAGCTATAATCGCACTTGAACCGTCCATTCGTCCGTTATTAAATCGTTTAGCCCCAGAAGCATCATCAAGAATACGGAATGAAGCTATGCTAAGCCGTACCACAAATGGTCCTTATTTTCGAGTATAATACTCATTAAGTTTTGGAATTATTTTTCGGAGCTGATTTTTTAGTTGTGTAATTTATCTTGCATATTAATCAGAAACTGTACAATCATACTATTAAAATTTACACATTTTATTTCTGTCTCGGTAATTCCTCAATGTAATATTTTGCATACTTGTACTAAGTTATCCCAAACTGTATGATTTGTAGTAAAGGTTTTGGAAATAAACAGCCGACTAAACCTATTTGCAATTGATAAGCATAAACAGTTCAGCACACACTATAAAATAATACTAAGTAGGTTATATCACAGTTTATTATAATTATGTGTAGACAAGCTTACATTCAAACCTAATATCGAATAGATATGAATTGGAGTAAACACTGCATATGGATAGTGACGCTAAGAAAATAAACCGTAAAACGTGTTAGATTCATTTCAAAGAACACATTTTGTCGCAAAAGTATGTTTATTAAAGCAGTGGGTTGATAAAATGTTGGCGATGTTAGATCCCTATAACTCGAGGTAAATATCTTATTTTTGTAATTTGAGTTTTTTCGCGCCAAAAGCGCTCATTCCATTTTCATTTCCCACACTGGTTCGTTGTCTCTCTTCATATGCTATTTTGTAACGTTTCCCAAGGATATTTTTTATGCTGTATATATGCGTTTAAGTTGTGCTTGTTGTTCGGGCTTCTGACTGCTTGTGGAATACATTCCCCTCTTCTGAACCTGGACTTCTCTCTTCAGTTAGCGAGACTGGGATGCATCGGAATAGTTAACTTATTTGGTCGTTGTGGAACTGAGTCTTCGTCCCGTTCGCAGACTAGGTGAACTCGTAACCTCTTGAAACACAACATAAAATAAATAACGTGATACAGAATCGCTAGACTAGATTTAAGAAGTAGTTGACGCTTTTCGAATGACAAGGTATTTATTGTAGTACTAAAAATGTATCGTATAGTCAAATTTACTGAATAATTGAAAAATAAAACAATACCAACATTCGCGTTATCTATGAACAGGCATTACTTGGCGTATATTCATATTTATACGTGTAGTCCTAATATATGTCAGACACTCTTGGCAATGTGTACACGCATCATCATTATGATCTTGCTTTAAAAATTTTTCACAAATATCATGACTAACACGAAGAGCTCCTTTCGACACAACCTCTGTATCATCATCGAAGAAAATTACTGGGACTGCATGACGAGCCAGACGACTTTTACCAGCCATTATTACTACATCACCATGACAAAGGTAAATCGGTAGTACGTGGTCATAGTCAGCTGCTCGGTTAAAACTCCCATGCAATGAAACGTCGAATTCATGCTTGATGGCTTCTGATGTTTCTAGTAAGAATAATGCAGTGGGTCCAACGCTAAAAAAGGTAACAATAAACGTGATTATTCTTTGAAAGACAGATGTTTACAGAAGCAGTCGTTCAGGTAGCTTCATAAGTATTTATCTCAACCAACGATTATAAAAATGGATAACCCAGGAAGTCCTCTACACCACACTTAATTTTTAGATAAGAGCTTCAACTATGATCTGTGCTGTGACTGAATGAGAAATAATAATGCATCTAATGAGAATAAATAAGTAATATATTTGTAATATCCCAATGAGTAGAAAAATTAGATTTTCTACTCATTGGAATATTACAAATACATTTATTTATAACAATATACCCGATGCTAAATTTATTGGAAATTATCAAGTCAAACCATGGTAATAATACCTATCTAATGAGAATGTTAGCAATCATGTAGATATGGCCGTTTTAATGGTAGTTTTTATCCAATACTATGATGCGCCTCACTGCAAACAACCAGCGGTAAAAAGGATCAACTTTGACATACATCTTATATTGAAGAATAAGTTATCAAAATATTGAACGGAGTGAAAGTTATTTTGGAACTATACTATCCCGGAATAATAGTGTGCTAATGGGCTTTTGGGATAAACAGATTTTCCCACGTAGTCCTGTATTCAAAATTTGGCATCCTAAGAATGAGCAAATCTCCCAACTTAATTAGGAATTACGGAGACTAAATGGATCTAGTAGTTTCCTACTTTCCTGAAACTAGAGATATGTACTGTTTAATACATGGTTAGCGGTCTAAAGACTACGTACAGCTGGAACATTTACGGTCCTATCTCTAACAGAACTCTATGTGAACACTGCTCGGTCTCGTGCTAGGAAAGGACAATTGTTTAGTACTTCTTGATTGTCTAGCTAAAGTTCATCCATCTTGTAAACTAATTTTGAAAAATCAAACGTACTGTCAAGTTATCCAAGAGCAAGTGTATTGTTGACAGCTGACTAACAGTTCGAGTAAAAAGTTACAATGGTCTACGATACAAGGTGAAATTCACACAAGACGAACAAGAGAGAGGTATAACGAAACCTTAAGAAAAGTCGTTGGTATGATACACATGAATTTGAAACAAAGTCGACCGTAAAGTTCCTTTTGGCACTGCCAGTGTTTAGTTGTTAGCCTAATATATTCGCCTGTTGGTTAGTAGAACAGTTAGAACCGATTCGGTTAAAGTCAGTTGCCTGCAGCATGAAAGACATTTCAATTTGCTCAAGCATTAGTAAAATATTAACTTTACTGATCAATTTATAGTTTAGTTTGATGTCATTATTGTTTAACACAATCTTACTGGGGGAAACCATACAAATTATGCATGAACACACTGACCTTCTCCCATTATCAAGGGATGATTTCAACACAACTCTCATTAATATGCACCAAAGATGTATGGTTTCATTTTTTGAAATTTGTATCACCAAGTTGACAGAGCCGCTGTGGGGAAGGAGTTCGTCCTGCCTAATCTTAACATATATTTCTGACAGTCTAATAGGAGCCAACAGTTATATAGCACACGAAACACACCTATCCAATCTAAAATTGCTAAACATACTGAAGTACTTCTACACTTACCTAATCGAAACCAAAGGAGCTTCCTTATCTATTTCCGCATCATCAGAATGGAAGCCCATGGTTGTTTTTGTTCGATAATAGTTCACAATTGACGCTTCTGGAGTGTAATTTCGGCACTGTTCCAACAGACGAGATGAATTCCTAGAAGAAATCTTTCCTCCTTCAATTAAGTGCTTAAGGAAGTTGATAATGTTTACTGTAGTCCCATACAGCAACGATGGAAATTCACCAACTTTAGATTCATTGTAAATCTGAACATAGTATTGGGGAAATTTTTAGGTGGTATAAAATACTGCTGTATCAAAAATGTCAAGATTCCAATCAAATCCCATGTCGGACAGTAAACTCTAAATATGAAAGAGTTAACTGTTTAAGCGACAACAATTAATATGATAATGTAGGGGAGTTGTTTTTAGAGGATATTTGGAAACAGATCGAAACTATGGTTTTAAAATGTTTCTGTTAAATATGAATGACCATTTTTGATATGAAATTATTTAAATTTAAAGAACTTTAGGGTCTTCAATATAGCTGTTTTACCAAGTACAGGTTTATGTATTCGGCTTTATTTTACACAGTTTGTGTGAGTTTGGTATGATTTAATTGACTCATTCACCAGGCGACTGGGTATGAGCCACACTCTGAGTGTAAAAGATAATAATACTACCTGGTCACCCATGCCAAAGTAGGTGAAGCGAGGATCGTATATGGGACTTAGTGGTTGAGTGTGGCGCATATGTATACGGTGCCTCCTTGCATCAATATTTATGTGTTCAGATAAATGGTTGAGAACAACTGTTTTAGCCACTAGGTTATCGTTTCAAAAAATTCCACAACATCCAGTATATCCCTAGCCAATCGCCTGTGTGAGTGCTAGCCCTACGTTGATTAGCTTAAGTGACAGCTTGGGAAACAATATTTGTCTTCTCAACGTAGCATGCTTATCAACTTATAGCTGCAGAACATTTGGTTCTATACCTTGTTATTACAAAACAACTTAACTTGCCCAGACACCATAGTGACAGGTTTCTTTCAAATGAAACAGGGTAAGTTACATAATACAAACAGTTTGTATTATTTTAATGACTAGACAATTAAAGCGTTACAGAAGTAGTACTACTGGGTTTTCTTCTGATCTAATTTTAATAACATCTGCACTGACTGAGTTACAAAATTTCTAGGGACCTCTCAAACCTATCTCTGGAGACATGATGAGTTGGAAAATGCTAATAGAACCATCTTTGTTCTGTGGTGTCATCGCAAAAATGGACTGTTTTCAGTCACTCGTGATCAATCAGATATAATCACTTTTATATTTTCCAGCAATAATTTTATGTCATGTAGTTCATTGCCTGGAGCTTTCAATGTACTACATTTTTGTATCGTAAATATAAATAAATTAATATTCACGAAGGCCCACTAAAATCTTTAGAAAGATGACAGGAATATATAGACATATATGTTACTGCTCAAACTGAACTGTAAAATACTAATAATAGCTTATTAGATATTTAATTTAGAAGACAAAGTTCAGGAAGTTTAAAACACTACTTCACAAATTGAAACCATTCACATTTTTTTAAAAGAATAAAAATGCAGAACCTAAAAGAGTGAGTTGCTTGAATTAAGCGATATTATAGACAAGCTGGAATACATAAAGAACTTTGGTAGTGTTGGGATTCGACTGAATAATGTCGAATGACAGAAGACAAAGTAAACGGAAATGGGGATGATCAAACAAAAATAAACAAAGAATAGTTTTTAAGGTTGTCAAGATAATCTGTGATTTTGTATAGTCTGACGCCGTTTCGAGATGTCACATTTATAAATAGTAAGAATATGTAAGAAGCTTCAGATTATAAACATGAATTAGGTCAACAACCAATCGCTTCGTAGTTAAAATTAAACCAACTCATCCACCACGTAATTAATTATGATCTACAGACGAAGTATGATAGCTAACGATACTGCCCGATTACTCGAACAGTGGTAGAAAGAGCGGAGTTTGAACCTGGGTCTTTGTGATCAAAATGTGAACGTCTTAACCATTAAGCAACCACTTCATATTTTACTTGGCCCAATATTACTTTACACAGAATAGCGGAGTTACTACTTATTTACTTAAAACGTTCTGGTACAATAAAGTACCCAGAAAGTGCGCCACCAGGATGAAGTGACATTACGATGAAATAGAGGGAATAAGAGTACAATAAATAAATGAAAAAAACAGCATTTGGTAAAATGTAGTGTTTAGTTAAGATGACGGTTAAGTAATGCTTCTTCCAAATGAGGAAGTTCACCTCAATTTTATGAAAAACGTGATGAAACTATAACATGATGGCCACTGGTAACTATGCTGGCTCATATTTGCTTATTTCTTAAGCAAAGGAGTTGCACGACCTCTGGTGACTAGACCGTGAAGTTGTCATGGACCAAGAGGAACCTCTCTAGTGCAGTTATCTTCCATAATATGGCACCGTGTCATAAGCTGACAACGCCTAGGCTTTTTTCATTTAGCCCCAGCGCCCGAAAGCGATGCGCGATGTAGGAGCCTCAGGGCAGACACTCATGTAAGACGACCAAGTCACCGAAGTAAGTATTTCAAGATCAGACCTTTTACAGGCAGACTAAAATCATAACGGCCCTTAGGATAGTCTAGGTTAGTATATTTAACTTTGACCTTTTCACTGACATGCTACCACCAGCACTAATATAACTAACCAAATATATGAGTTTTCAACTATTTTTAACGGATCACCACAAAGAGTAAGTGGGGACACAAGCTTCTGACAGTTTGCAAAATTCTTTTGTACTTAGAAAATATAAAGTATATGCCGACCGTCTAACTAGCATATTATTGTACAGTGAGACAATGTCATCTGCGTACACAAGATCCCAAAGTCTTTCTCCAGGTGACAGGTTTACACCAAAACCATTGTGCGCTTCCCTAAGACTTATTTTCAGAATATTATCGGTAGTAAAATTGAAAAGGAGTGATGCGATTTATCAACCCACCCTATATTAAATGTGGATTAAAATGTAGTGAGGTGGTTGGATACGTTCAGTGTCTGAGTTATTTGGATACAGAGCCCTCAAGATGTTAATAAACTTCTTAGGAACTTTCTTCTTCAGCAGACAATCTCAGAGAAAAGTCGTATTCAATGAATCGAAGACTAAACAAGAAATACTGTAAACATCTAACACTGTTTAGTATTTAGAAGCCGTATTTATCTTAAAGAGATATGACAATGATAAAACAAAAACTTACTCTTTCGCTCCACTGATAGTGATAGCCTAAAGTTATCCAACGGAGTTTAGAATACCATGGATCAGTACAAGCAATCCCTATCGCATAAGTTAACTTGTGAAAATGAATAACATACGATTATTATGAGACACATTTGTGCCCAAATTAAATTGAGCCGTCGGCAAGTGACACCATTCTGTCAGTGCAGCAAGCCATAAATCTTTAATTTCAATTGGACTGAAGAAGTTCTTCATTATGAAAAAATCTGTTTGATTACATAAATGTATATGGTATAAACCCACCTTCGGTTGGTATAGTCTGCACTGAACAATCTGAACGTGAATTCGGCAACCTAGTGAATACTGTTTCCTGTTACCGGGAATGAATCAACTATCTGAATACCTTGAAAGTCGAGTCAGTGTATCTCCGTATTTGTTCGCGAACATCATGTGTATAGTTTAAGTGTTTGTAAAATTTGAAGACATCCTTTAGATAGGTATTTTGGTCTTCGTCAGAATATGCCATATAAATAATAACTTCTAAACCGGATTCAGAAAGAAATCTAATAAAACACTTGTGAGATAAACAGACACGTACTAAGTAAAGATAACAAAAATAAAGTCAGCACATGGCATGTTAGGCTTAATAAACCTATTAGTTACTGAATGAAGAAAAATCTGGAAAGGCGTGAAATTTGTACAGAAATGATGCTTAAACACGGAGCATTCAGGTCCCACTTCATTATGGACTAGCATTTTATGATCGATTTTACAGAATGACAAAAACTGAATATTTGTGAATTTACAGTGAATGGAAATGAATTTCCAACATTTTGCATGGTTTTCCGATGACATAAGAAACATTCTGCAGACATTAATATAGTATGTAAGACAATGTTAGCGCGAAAATGGTTCTAAAATTGAACTCTATAATTTATTACTGTCAACAATTACTGTATAAAATCTGCCATTAACCTCTTTATTTGCACTTTGTAGAAGACGTCACTTATCTAATCCCACAGTAACTTCTCAACTCGAGTATCGAACTCTGCAATAAGTATGTACTACCTCAAAATTAGAAGCAGTTCATATTAGTCAATAAACCATGTGATAGTGGATTCTGAGAACCCGCTTAAACTATTAAACTATCAGACGTGATCAAGTATAATAAGATAGGACCGAATACGAGGAGGGGTACAGATGATTTTTATTGGCAAACCCACGATTCATGTTCCAACATTGAACTACAAACCTTTGTTAGAAATGATTTATGATGGCTAAAATCTTATGACTATAGTTAAATTAAACCCCGGGATTTAATTCTTGCAGGACAGATAAAAAGAATCAAACCGGTTGCATCAGACGGTGACAACTGGGTAATTGAAGGAAGTCTATGCAAATGAGTGTGTATAAGCAGCGAGATCGGAACCATAAGCAGATAATGGCTTAAAATGACCTCTTTTCTGTTTCAGTGACCTTGAACGGCTTGTCTCAAGGTGATCATCCCATATTTAGAACGTTTCGGGTCTGTGACGTTTTTGTAGACTAGCTTGGATTGGTAGTGTGTCTTTAGGGGACTTCTATATTTCAGAAAACGCCGAATGGCGCGTGGATAAGTGTGTAGTATCGGTCACTATATCAAGCCCACATAGCTTATTCTAGCTTCCGGACAGACCAATTTATTCATTCTTCTTGAGTCACATTTTAACCCTATCTGATACTCGCCTATCAATCTTGACTTCTTTGCATAAGCGTACGTGTGTGCATTATCTTACTCACCACATGACTGTACTAATTTTTGTCGGACTATACATATCAACTAACCCATGGTTAAACCAAGTTAGCTAATACGTCTCCTCCGATCCGCTTCGCTTCCCTCCCTCCTATTCGCTTATTTCGCTACATCTCTTTGATTGCCTGTCTCAATTAACGATTGCACCAAAACATACGCATTCAAGCCCTCATTCTTGTGCTTAATTCCATCATTTACCAGTGCGACTTAAGTCGACAATTATATGTGTGGATTGACGACGTGTATGTTTCCATAACAATCTAAAACGATCTAATTCAAGTCAGATATCACAGAGTCACTAAAGATGTGTCGTATGTTTCTGTCTACCTTTTAGGTAAAGAAGACTATTCTGTTACACCTTTTAACTAAATACATATTATACCAGAATCACTTTGGGAGTGGTTTGTATGTAATATATATATTCTGAGTGAAAATATAAGTACAAGAACAGTAAATCATTCAGCAAAATATTTGAACTTGCCTGGATTATTTTCTGAATTTAGATTTGTAGTGACTCACGAGAACACGACTGGTTTAATAAAAACAATTATTATGATAATAAGTGTACCAGTGTTTGTTTTAATGTGCTTTTGTTTGACTGTGCTAATGACAGCTATTTTGTGCTTCCATTCTTATACACACACTTTGATTGTGACTTCGCGCGAATTCAGTTACGTTCTTTAACCAAGCTTGTATCCTGGCACGATCTCGGTATCCTTTCGATACCACGAAATCGCCAGAGAATATATCTCGATTTGGTCCATTAATTGCCTTCTGATATTTGGCTTCTCTGGGATCTTATGGATTTATTTGGTTACGTTCAACCTTCGCCTTCTGATTTCCTTGGCACGTGTTTCTTGGTAGCGGTGTTCATAGTCAATCACGACTCGACGCCACTCTACAGATTATTCATTAGACTTAAAAGAATCAGTTCAGATAATTATTTGGCTGTCACTGTATGAACCATCCAAAATGACTTTATGATTGAAGAAAATGTATAGCTTAAATTCACCGTATGTTTCTGAAGTATTTTCTTCGTTGTTTGTCAATGGAACTCAAGAATGGGAAATTAGGCAGACAGTGGTCGGAAGGAAAGATATTACAGGATAATCCATAGTTTGGAACAGTGGAACGTTAAGCGAAGAAACAATATGAAGAATTAAATGCAGATGACAATTCAGTTCTTGCTCACATCGCTAGCCAATGTCTATTTACGTTGTCGAAAGGCCATATTTGCTAGAGCTTGATGTTTTACCAAGCTTATTTCGCTGAAGCATATAAATGCTACTAAAGCTTGTTAATAAACCATCGTAGCGGCAGATGACCAATTATTAGTATTGATTGAGCCAGTAAGTTTTGAGTACTAATCAGTATAACATTACGATAATATACGTGAGCATTATTCAGAGGACCAATAGAATAATGGGTTAACATGTGTAAATAATCGATCAAAAATAGTAAAATTGAAGATTAACAACTGGCTGTGTTTCTTTAGTCGGGTTTACCAATGTATAATTATGGTCTACTTCGTTATTAGTACTGCTCTAATAGTAGACCTAGTCCCATAATTATAAATTTGTTATGATATAGCTGCTCAATCCATAAGATCTCATATGGGAATCATATTATTTTCCACACAGACTCATCCTATCGTAATAATCACGAGTATATGATGAAGAACACACTTAGGCTGGAGATAGAATAATATATTTAGTGTGAGTAAATACAAGTCATAGAGAATGATCACGCCTACAAGGCTGAGCCATACCATCCGATTAATTGAATTAATTCCTCTTGCCTCTTCCATTGTTGGGTTTTTCTCCGCGTTAAGTGTTGAATGTCTATTTTCCCAGTCGTCTCGTTTTCAGCTTTGAGGATTGTATGGTTAGGTCCCAATGCCATCATGAATGCACTCATTTATATATTGGTTGTACACCCATCAGAGATATGAAAAGTACACAGATTTATGGCAAATCAAATGTTGCATATCATGCTGAGTGTCGTTCATGTTAATTTAATACAATAATATCTTATCTTGAACAAACATCACACTCAAATAAATTAGTGTCATACCGTATAAAATATCACTCTGGAAAACAAAACAACTACTACACTGAATAGTTATAGCATTAAATTAAATTAAGTAATGTTGAACGAAAGACGTGATGAGTAAAATAATGTGGTTTTGTTTTTTCATCTCGTCATATCATAGAGAACTTTTAGGGAAGCTGAATAATATGAACATATTTCAGGATAACGTGCAACCGAATGTACGTTTTACACTGACAACATCCCAATGAAATAATCAACAATCCCTTATTACTTCTTTTCATATTCTCAGCAACATGGAAACGTAGGCCTATATTGCCGAACAAAGCAGAATCCAAAGACAGTTTTTCGTGTTGTCATATATGGCAAGTTTACAGTGTCAGTCAAATTCATGCTACCTAAGGTTAGCAATATTTGAATAGTGTGCAGCTTTGCGGATTTGTATGTACTAAACCTGTGCCATAAGGCGTAAAATACATCTGTTTACCAACTAGGTTTTTACTGTCTAAGATAATTCATCAATGGTTTGTCAACACTTTCACTAGACATGGAAATACGTAGCCACATCTAGAGAGATAATTAAAAGTCATAAGAAGAGCAGTACATTCACTGTAATCTCCGAGATAGATATCACATTATTAATTCATGAACACTGATTTACAATATTCTGGTTAACGTCTGTTAAGCAAAGACAGTAGATTCAGTTGTATTACTATATTAAGCTTTCATAAAGAAATAACTTGCTTCATTATTCCACAACATTCCTTTGTATAAGATAGGAACTGACCTAATGAGTATTAAGACAATATGTTTAAAGGTAAACATTACAACGTTGATATTAGAGAACATCTAGCGTTTAATACAGACATATTAGATGAACATGATTGTCTACTCATTCTCTTGAATGTCTCATTGGATATGTAACTGCCAACTGCATTACTACAGTTCGATCTTTTATTGCCGTTGTAGTACAGTTTACAGATAATATAAATATCAATCTGATCAAATTAAAAAGAGCTTTAGTTGTGATGTTAGCCAAATACTACTATTGTTTCAGTCCGTTTGCGTCTCCTCAGCCATATTATACTTTGGTTATTTATCATTATCTTCCATAGAAGACGTCTAAACTCGTGCCCATGTTTTAAAATAGAAGTTTGCATGCGATCACTAACATCAATGCTTATTTTTAGGGATTTCAGCGAACACCAAGATAACATAAAAAATTTGCAGAAACTCCTTTAGCTTTTGTGCCATGTCGTTCAAACGAACAGCCAATATTATACTTGCCTATGATTACCATGTCTGCTAGTCGGTGTAGTTAGCCAATGGCAGGATATGAGCCAGTTCTGTCGTGTCCACAACTCACGCTGGATGCTATCTCGTTCAGCCCTCTTCTGTCCTACTATGTTGCCAGTATCATACCGGTTTGTGGCCTCTTTGTCACTGGTTGTGTTTCTATTGGCCTCCAATGTCTAAGATCATTGTGTATAGATGGGATGAGCCGATCGACTTTTCACTCTTGTTTCGATGAAGGTCTAGGGCTTTGATAATGCTCAATGGGCTCCAGTCTAAACCCTCAACTGCACTAGTTTAAGTCAATTTGGTAGTTATGTGTGGATTTGCATATCTTGTAATCTGATTGAGTGCATTTTTCTCATAACAACTGGAATTCTGGGTGTCAACAA